TTACACCACAATTTGCATCTAGTGTGGCAATGAGCTGAGCCGACCCGACCCGACCCATCTACCCACGAGCTCGACTTGTCAAAGTGACGAGCTGCGCTCAAGCTTGTTAGAGCATGAGCCGAGCCCACGAACTCGAGTTTTTTTTTCTTAATGTATTTAATTTTTTTTGTTCACATTTTTTACGAGGCTTGTGGCTCATGAACTTTTGGCTCGTGGGCACGCGAGCTCAACGAGCTAAGCCTAGCAGTCCATGGGTTGAGCTTTGACAAGCCGAGCCGACGAACTGACAAGCTACTCGATCCTTTGCCACCCCTATCTGCATCCATTTATGTTGATCAAAACTCGTTTGAATAAAACCCATTTCAAGAAGATATCGGGCTATGTTACATTATTTTCACTCCTTACAGTTGAAGAAACCTTGAAATTCAGTGCAAAGATTCTATTAAAGCCGCCGGAAGGTCAAGTGTTTGATTCAAGAACTGGGTTGAGTTATTTTACGGAGCACAAGTTGGCAATGACTGAATCCAGGGCATTTCGACGGGAAGAGGCGACGTGTCTCCATTGGTGGGGTGGGGTGATGAAGTTATTTTTAGTTTTGATTTTCAATTATTTATTTTGGACTCATTTGTAATTTTTTTTTTTGAAAATTTTGGGATTATGATTGCAATTCATTATTTATTCTGTCTTTTCTTTTCTTTTTGTTTTATTTAAATATGAAGGTATATTTATCATTTCACAACTTTTTATTGAGAAAACTGATGAAAATGATGATTTCTGCAATAGAAGGTAAAAATAGGGGTAAAAATGCAAAAAATAAATAAATAAAGTGAGGACGTTTTGCACCATAAATTCCTAACGTATGAACATTTTATGATAATAACCCTTTTTCATTTTGAATATAGTATGATATTCGTTTATATAAGATTACCTAGATTTGCGACAACATTTATTTAAAAAAAAAAACAAATGGACAGAAAAACAGAAACAACTGTCTAGATGTCCTCTACTTGCAACTTGCAGAGTAAACTAGAAGGAAAAATTAACTCAAAACAAATCAATCAAATTAAATTATTTAGGAATTATTGGTAGGGAGCCAGACAAAAAAGTATGGCCATTCTTTCCTCACATTAACATAATAATAAAATAATAACATGCATTGTTATATTAGGGCAACTTGGATCATGTTTGGCCAAGCTTCAAAAGTATGTAAATTTTGAACTATTACTTTAAGTTGCAAGTACATAAGTATTCAAACATTGTCATGTAAAGCAATGGCTATTCCATTTCCATGGCTAAGAATTCAAACTAGAGCATGAGGTTAATATAACTCTTGTAAACAATAAGTTGGCTTAGTCTATGAACGAACGAACCGCTCCTATTTAAAAGAGGAGATCCTAGCACAAGCCTTTCTACGTGCTATAAACGATCCACCTCAAGGCATGTGTATACAAATCATAATTTTCCCTCATCGTTGCATTACGACATCCACTACCTGTACTAATTGTTCGTCCTCTCTAATTATGACAATAAAAATAGATATTATTTTTCAAATAGGTAACCAACTTGTTTTTATTTTTTAACCACAAAATAGTTATTTATCTCGAACTTTACATATTTACGTATAAGTAAATTTACTTATAAGCAGTTTTTTTAACCTAATCCAAACATGTACTTATTTTTAGGTGTTATTTGAAGGAATGGGTTTTGGTTGCACCCTGTTTGGTGTTGAGGTCAAGAAAAATGGGGTTTTGTCTTCTAAATTTCTAATACCAAACAGAATATAACCTAATCCTTAATCTTTTCTTAGATTTTTTAAAAATAATTAAGGTTTATGTTCAATGATTTGGCAAACAATTTAAATTTAACTTTAATCTTGTTTCCATATATCAAAGTCCATATTTAAGAGAGTTGGTTATAGATACGAGATCTTATAAAATCTCACGTTGGTCAAGTAAAATAGAAATGTGGTGTTAGTGTGTCATATATAGAGATTGTAATTTTCGACTATATGGTAACTGGCAAAATTACAGTTATTTATATTCCCATAATCAGAGTTGAACGAGTATTGCACGTTATTCTAAAATACTTTATGAGTGTTAGAAAAGTAATATTTGATACTAAGTTGTTGAGAGGATTTTATAAGTCTCTTACGAACTAAAGAAAATAAAATTTAGGGAAGAAAATTGTATTTTCAAAACTCAACTTCTATTATTCAAATTTTTTATGATGAAATATTACAAATGAACAACATTTTTGTACTACATTTGGTATGTAAGAATTAATTGATAATACATGAATTTAAACATCCATTAAAATTACTAGATACGTGAATAGAAATAAATTCATTTATAATAAAACTAGATTCATGTAGATCAAGATTCATCAAATCTAGATCCATTGAGTCTAAATTAATGTGAATGTCAATTAATTGAGAATTAGCTTGTGTTTGACACCCATTTTGGGGAAAAAATGAATTTTGGAATAGTGATTGATGGAAGAATGTATGGTTGAAAAGTAATGAAAAATTTTAGATTTGTGTGTAATATTATTTTATTTAGAGAATGTGTGGTTGAAATGAAAAATGAGAATGAGAATGAGTGTCAAATAATGCATTAATAACACGAAATTCATACATGACAAAAATTTTGCAGTATTTATTACATATTGAAAAATAAAAAGAAAAATATTATTGAAATAATTAAATTGTAATAAGGTTAAAACCGTTTTAAAAATAATTTTTAATAGATGTGATATGCCCTTGTTTGATACTCATTTTTCTCTCTCTTGTTTTCAAACACATATTTTTAATAAAATAATATTACACGTAAATTAATTTTTTTTTTAATCATGCATTTTTCGTCATTTTACTATTCCAAAATGAATTCTTACTATGAAAATGAAAAACAAACATGCTCTTAGCCCCTGTTTGTCTACCATTTTTCAAAAAATTGTTTTTTACAGTAATCAATCCCTATCACACATTCAAATAATAAAATATTCTATGCATAAATCGATAAAATTTCTTTCAATTTCAAGCACACACTTTTCAAAAAATACTATTCATTACACTATTTTCTTCTCAATAATGATGGACAGACAGGTACTATATATTTAAAAGTGATCAAGTCAAATAGAGTGGCAGGTGCAATGACTTTTGACCGTGACACCTTTGAGGCAACTCAAATTCTCGGGTACATGTCTAGTCTGTCAATATCAAATCTATTCTCTTGCTTCTGTTACTTTGCTCTTGTCATCTATAAAATCACAATTAAAATTAATTTTTTGTTTTTTTACAAATTCCAGTAATTAATAGTTTGGTAGAAAAGGTTTTCTTTTTAGATGGCCATTTTTGTTTGAGAAATTACTCACCAATATGTAATATATTTTTAAAAAATATCTTGAATTTTGTTTGATAGCATTTTGGTGATTTAAACACTTTAAAATTTTACATAAATATCATTTTATTTACGATGTTCTCTTGATTCAACATGACATGTTTGATCGGAGTTATTAAAATGTAAAGAGAAAAAATGAACTAGGGTTCCCGATCGTATAATTACAAGCGAGGTGGCAAGCCATGCAAGCTTGCATTTTCCCCCCACACCACACAAACTACCTTACCTCTATATGCTTGAACGAACTGGTCGTTGGAGATTTAATTATTTGAAAATCAGACATGAAAAAGATGCCTCTTTTTATGAAAGAACACGGACCTTAAAATCTAGATTCTTATATTTTTCTATGTTTCTATGTGAGTTTTCATCTTTCTTGATATAAACTCAAATAAGCTTGTAATTTCTCGGACCTATTTGCCGGTAGATCCCATAAGCAATCACCACGAGATGGGACAAATATTATGAACAATGTTATTTCACGTGTTGTAACCATCGTATTCCTATTTTTCTCTTCCATTCTTTTTGCGGTTTGGTTGCCATCTTCTCTTTCTTCAAAGTTATTTTGTCAACACAAATTGCAAAAGGTATCTCCTTAGTCTTATCAAGTCCTTTATGTTCGTAAACGATTAGAGAATAATAGATAAAATTGTGTCCGCACATGTTTGTTTAGTCCTATTATTTTTTATCTTTTTAAAACAATTGCATTAGGAAGGTGAAATAACAAGAAACGAAAAAGTAGAATAACTGACAATTGTTAGTCAATTTCAGCACGTGTATCACTTTTGTTCTTTCCATATTTGAAATAAGATATGCTGACTTAAAATCGGGTATCTTTCCAGGATTTGCACTAAAACGATCGACACGTGACCAAGTGATCCAACTCACATTTACTCTTTTGACCACGCGATTTGTGATTCAATAGTAGGAGCGGCAGTATAGTAAATTCACGCTTTTTCTCAAAACAAAACCCTTTATTTATCATTTTCTCTAAGTTCGTTTATTAGGATTTAATCTAACGTATCAAACTCCTCCGTGCCAATTTTTTCCCCACGCGATTATGAAAAAGATAATATTTATTTAAAAAATTCCACGTGTAACCGGTGACTCATCACAAGGTGCGAAGAGGGATCACAAGATGAAAAGATCACGATCATAGTGTGTAGATGAACGGCCAACAATGCTCTAATGGAAATTCAAAATAAGGGTTATTTTAGTCATTTCAAACGAAATATTAGCGTTTGCTAGGGTTTCGTGTACGGCTGACCAGGCTTCCTTGTTTGTCTCCCTCTCTTCCCATCATATTCTCATACATAAATCCCTAAATCTACCCGCAATACACACATCAGCACACAAATTTTCTCTATCTAGAACCTGTGATCACCAAAGCCGGTACAGTTTTGTGTTCACTCTCTGGATTTTTTTTTTTCCTCTGAAATTTTTTGTGGGTTTTTTATGTTTCATTGTTAAAGGTTTGATTCTACTGTCCATTGAATAAATTATTGACACACCCACCAAGAGTTATACAGTACTTGGGCTTACAAACACTGTACACCTGTCAGTGTGTGTTTCTTGATCCTTTTGAGTAGAAATAATCTGCTTCATAATATGGATCTGAAAGAAGAGAAGGTGAGGAGTATGATGATCACGATTTCTTATGATTTTGATGCTGATTTTTGATCAAATCTTGAATGCTAACTCTAATCTTGTTTTTGTTTCACAGAAACTAGATGCTGAGGAGAAGAACTCATCAACCCAGATTAAAACTTGCAGTTCATGCCACACTACAAAAACTCCACTTTGGAGAGGTGGCCCATCTGGCCCTAAGGTAGTAATAAGAAACAACTTATTTTGTAATATTTTTTGTAATTTTTTATTTTGAAACTCATTAATTCTTGATGTGGGTTTTGGTTTATTTTCAGTCATTGTGCAATGCTTGTGGAATAAAGTACAACAAGAAGAGGAGGCAGCTTCTAGGATTGGAAACTGCACGAACCGGAAAGAAAAAGAAAAGGAACAGCATCGATAAAAGCAATGAAATTAAAGAGATTTTGAAAATGCGATTTATGGCATTGGGAAGTGAAGTGATGTTGCAGAGATCAGGGAAACTGATGAGCAAATTGAGAGAAGAAGAGCAAGCGGCTATACTGTTGATGAGTTTATCCTGTGGATCGGTCTCCGCTTAGTGCAGTTAGAATAGAAGTCGTGGTTTATGATGGCACAAATCTCTAGCAATCGGGAAATTTGAAAGCCATAGGCAAATTTACCACCCCACCTCCATCTGGTTGTCTTTTTAATTGATTGTGTTAATCCTACTCTTTTTTATGTATGATTTTATTATAAGTATTTATGTAGTAATGACTAACAATGATTGTTTATTCTCGTTTTTGGGTGACATTAATTCCTTTGATTTTCATCACTTTCAAGTTCTTTTTGCCATATAGCACTTAGAGTCCCAATATTTCAATAATCGACCCGAGAAAGAGAAATAGTCAATGATCAAAAGATTGAATCGGAGTCGAACCGAGATCGGATTGGTAATTTTAAAAAAGTAAAAAATATACTTTTACAAAAATTAAAAATAAAATTATATATATATATANNTCTTTCTATATATATATATATATATATATTGAACTGGGTAAATCAAGAACGGTTCACGATTTTCCAAAACATGGCCGGTTTAACGGGTTTTGGGATGGGTTTTAATTAGAAGTTTTATAAGTCTAATCGGTCCGATTTTGGTCCCGATTCCCGATTTTACTTGTTGAACCGACCAGACCGGATTTTAAAACACTGCTTTACTTTTGGGTAACAATTGGAATAAGTTGAGGAAAGTTCTTTTTCAAGGACTACATGATTGAGCAGTTTATACCAATTTAATAGAATAGAAAGTGAAATTTAATTTTTCTAAATATATATTTCTCTTTTCTTTTTAACTGCACATTCTTTAACAATATAATATTACACGTAAATCCAAAAAAATTTCCTTATTTTTTAACTACACATTCTTCATCAATGTTATTTCAAAATGCATTCTAACCTGAAAAAATGGGAGCTCAAACATGCCCTTAAGTTTAATTTAAATTTAAATACCCAACTTTCTTCTATTTTATGAAATGATCCTTGAAAGTTTTGAAATAATCAAATTAGTCTATGCTTTTAGACTTCATTTGGAAGGTTTGTGCATTAACGAAGTTGCCAATGGAGCAGTGACCCATTTTAGAAAATTTCTGAACAAGCATTTTCTTGATATGCTTTCCACTGAATTCAAAAGCAATAAAAATAACTCTATGCATACTTCTATTTTAAAATTTCACCTAAAAATTTTCTTGATATGCTTTTGTTTATATCAGTTTATGCCACGGAAACGATCAAAAGGTTATTCGAAAAGTCAATTAGAAATTCATTAAGCCATGTTTGGCGACCATTTTTTTGGAAAAACATTATTTTAAATAGTGATTTTTTGGAAAAGTATGAATTTTTTTTTTTTGAATTTACGTGTAGAATATTTCAATGTGAATGTGATTGAAAATAAGGATTAAATAAGACGGATTGTCAACTCGGAGTTAAAGCTCTCCGTGACGTAGTACAAAGCCACAAGCTTAAACTTGGACAGGCATTTGTCGAGCACCCGTGTGTGGGTGGGCATTTTTTCACTAAATAGATGAAATCAGATCGAAACCAGATAAAACTAAGTCGTTCGGCTCCAATTTTTCTAGTAAATGGCCTGGTCTTCATACCATGGATTGAGAATTATCAGTTCGTGTCCGATTTATCAAGCGACCTTCAATAATCAAAATCCTTGAAGATTATTAAAGATAATCAAGTTATAAATATTACATTTATTCTCTTAAATGTATTATTGTAATTGATTTTCTTATGATTTCGTACAATTCAAAATTTACCATTTACTTTACATTTAATAGTTTATGTTTTTTCCTGCCCTTATAAATTGATCTTGAGTTTTGGAACGAATTTTTGTTTGTTGCTTTGTTTAATTTATTTTTTGTGTATTATTAGATTATAAGAATCACAAATGGTTTCATATTCTATTTTTGTTTATTTTCATTATGATAAGACGTTTCATACTTTATTATTTTAATTTTTCAATATAAAGAATTGGATCGAACCAATTGTTCAATTTTTATGATTTTTATTGGTACTCGATTTGGTTCAGTCCATTTAGAATTGTGCCGAACCAGATAGCGCCCATTCCTAAGCATTGGGCTCGACTCTTTTTAAACAAGTGGAAATTACACGATTCCCTCCTTTTCAAGATCTATATTCTAAAATCAGATGTGAAGTTTAAATTTTCAAAAATCAGATATTTTTTAATTAGATACATTATAATTATATATATTATAATTACATAATATAATTACCCAAATCCACCATAATTATTTCATCATATTTTTTCTCCTCTCTCTCTATCCCCGTCGCCACCACACAGCCTCACACCGCCGGCACCACCACTATTGGCACTACCTCTCCGGCAACACCACCACCTCCATCACAATTCGCTTCGGTGACCCTACACCAGTGCTGACTAGCATCTGCCGCCTCAGAAGCCACAGTGCCGATCATCATCTACACAACGTTGCAAATTTTGGAGGTTTTTTTTTTGTTGTTTTTTGGACAAATAGTTGTTTAGATCTGAGATGAGATCTGTATTTTGGTTTTGAATGTGGCGGATATGGTGGCGCTATTGTGGTTGACGGATGGTAATGGTAGTGAAATGAGAGTTGGAAGTGCTATATCTGGATTTGGGAGATGGTGCGTGCGATGGAGGTTTTGCCGTGAGGTTGTGGTGTGAGCGCGCGAGTGCGACGTTGGGTGCCGGTCGTGCCGGCGAGATGGGGTTGGAGGTGACACTGATTATTTTGTGCATGGTTATTGGTGACTGTGATTATTGATGGTCGAGATTATTTTGTGCATGCGTGCGAAGGTGGGTGTTGGGCGTGCCGGTGATATGAGGTTAGAGGTGACTGTGATTATTTTGTACATGTAATCGAGTGTGACCAATCAAAATTATGACCGTGACTCACTGTAATCGAGTTGTAACTAAAAAAAATTTAATATGTGGTTGAAAAAGAAAGAAAAGTTATTGATGTGACATATTGTTAAACTGTGACCTTAAAATTCTATAATTTGGGACTAAAAAATAATTTGTGGCCAATAAAAAAATTTGTGACTTGTGATCGAAAAATAATACACGGCCTATTATTTTAATAAGTTGTGACCTATAAAATATGTGATTTGTAACCAATAATTTGATAAATTGTAATCGATTTGCAATGAATAAATGAGTTGCTAAGGTCACAGTTTACTGTTCAGAGGTTTGAGTTCACAAGTCACTGTGATTTTGTATATGTCACAAATCAATATAGGCGGGTCACGGATCAATATGATAAATTAATTTGATAGTTAATTGTGGCTAAATAATTCGTCATTAAGGTCACATATCATTGTCACAGGTTTGAGTTCACAAGTTACAGTCATTTTTTATAGGTCACAAATCAATATTAACAGGTAACATGTGTTTGTAGAGTCACGATTCAAATTTACAGGTCACGTTTTATATTACTAGTCACAAGCAACAATCAAGAGGTCAAAAATCGTGTCAACTATAAAAAAAAATGGCAGAGTTGTCGTCGGAATATTCGCTAGAGTTGGAACAATTGTCGGAATCGGAGCATTCGGCGGAATAAATCGACGGCGTAACGGTCACTGAAATTGGAGTAGTCGTCGGAATGATTTCTATATATATATATTTATATATATATAGAAATCACTATATGTATGTATATGTCAAATATCTGATTTTAGAAATTTGAAAGTTGTTTTCTTATTTTTGAAATAGTATATAGTAAAAATCTGGGAAATGAATTTTTCCCTTTAAACAAACTTGTGACATAATGAATAATGACAACAATGCACAACTTTGAAAGTTGTTTTCTTATTTTTGAAATAGTATATAATAAAAATTTGAGAAATGAATTTTCCCTTTAAACAAACTTGTGACATAACGAATAATGACAACAATGCACAGTAATATGACGTGTGTTCCAAGCAATTAATAAGCATATAATGTAAAGACAATTATATGTTGTCACTTCAAACATATACCTAGATATACCAGAGAAATAGCGATAGTAACCGCTCCACACTTCTTCAATTAATTGACACATCATATAGAAACAACCTCCCTCAACCATCATTTCTTCTCATAATCACATGATTAGACATATTTAAAATCGAACGAGTCGGGTCAATCTACATCGACGACCCATCACCCATTTTTCGATCGGTCTTAAGTATAATAATGTAAAATAAAAGTTTTTGTTATAATGAAATTTTGTGTTTCTAGGGTATGGGCTATAGAGAGTAAATTATGGGAGCTTTTGAATAACTTGCCTCTTTTACTCACGACCGTTGGTGATATCTAATAGTAGTATAATACTATTAGATAATTTCTTGACTAATTTTCGACAAAATCAAGAAAAACTCTATATTTGTGTGTGTGTTCTTTCTTTCTTTCCACGTAGCCTTTTGATTGCCTCTGTACGAGTTCACCAAGGACACGTGTAATGGTGTCAAAGGGAACTATATCGGTACCCAAAAAAATTCGATTCATCTTTTATTAGTAGCGAGTCTCACTACTCAAATCTCTTTCACGCACATCTTTCCACGTATGGCATATGCATTTACTTGAACGGCTTCCCACAACATTTGCTTCCTTCTCCTACCCCTGGCGATACCCACACCCACAACCCTCTTTCTCTCTCACTCAAGATTGGTGCCTTATCAATTATTAGTAGGGAGATGATGGAGAGAAGAGAGAATGGGTAGCAGAGATATCGTGCACGAAAGTGATGGTCAAGTTGATAGTCTGAATAGAAAATTTAAAGATACTTTCTGAATGTAGAAAGATATTTATTTAATTCTAAATATGATTCAAATCGAAAGAATGTGAAGAAAGTATGTTTAACCAACTCAATCTACATATTTTATGTCAAACTATAGTTTTACTATCGAGCATTTTCTCATTTTAGAAACATAGCTAGTGCTATTGGGCTATATTTGTAATTTTAGGTAAATCTTCGCTTTAGCCTCTAAGGTCTAGTTGACCTCATATTAAAGAATGTACGAAGCATAATTTTGATTGTAAGATGAGATTTTTCGA